CAATAAGTGATTATAAAGATAAAATATGGAACCTGCCAGGTGCATAACCTTATTTAGATGATGAAATGGAAGATGAGTTATTTGCAAAAATGTGGAACTGTGATGTCAGAGATTTGGCCTTACAATCTGTAAAATCCCTTAGTTTTTTAGTTCTAGTCTGCTGAGCTAAAATGACTCTGGGAGATTCCTGGTTTCTACCACCTGCGACTCCAGATAGAGAATCCTGAATCTTGCACTGAACGTTGACTATAGTGCTAGTTTCTTACATTTGTGCAATGTAGCTGTCAACGTGCTGCCATTGTTATTTGACAGTTACAGTCACTTTCATATGTGGAATGTTATCCATCCAGTGAAGTGATAGTTCCACAGGATTCAGTCCTGAATTTGTTCACTTCTTAATCAAAAAAATGATTTTTTTCCCAAATATGTTTTAAAATTGGGAAACTCAGATCCATTCATTTAGTTTCCTCCTTATCCTGCACTAAGAATAGGTCCTAGAACAGAATTATATTCTGCCTAATGTAACTGCTTTCAAAGAGATAATGCCCCTCTTGGAGCTGTACTGGACCTGCACATTGAATTCAAAAGAGCAGAAACCATGTCCCTGGTTATGAAAGAAGGTACTGATAGAAATAGACTGTAGATTTATCAAAGGTGTAAATCATAGTGTCTGGCTAGTGGTCTCTTGGAAGAGACAGACAAAGGTGGGAGCAGCAGTGTGTTTAAGGAGATAGAGTAGAATGGACCCATGGTACCACTGAACCTTGCCTATTACAAATCTTCTATTGTATTCCTGTTATTTCCTCAGTAAAACGTAATTTCTTTCAGTAGGCGTGAATTTTGAATGTGTGAAGGAAGGTGTAATGTGCAAGATCAAGAATGGTTTGCTTAGCTTAATTCTTTCTGCTAGGTATGATCAGAGCATGAGGCGTTTGTGTTATAATACTGCAGCAACTGTTGTATAAAGAAATTGAATTCCTTACATAACTCAAAAGAACGACAAATACAATAGTGTATATTTTTTTCCTAAAGTTTCTCTCACTGCAAAGAGCTTTCAAATGACACCGCAGGAATAACTTTTCTTGTCACTGGAGTGTTCCCACCTGTGGCATGAAACATGGCAGTTTTAGCAATGCGCAGCAGTAGCACTCAAATTTTTAGTTTTGAGGCTAAGAGAAATACACCATACAGCTGAAACTGCAGAAAGAGTTAGGAAGACCAAGTAATTATTCCGGGTGGAGTATGGATGAGAGATCTAGGCTATTTTACTCTCTTAGCATGACTTTCTTCAAATACAGTGGTAAAAATACAGAACAAGGCATACCGCTAGCTAGGTAGCTTGAAATAAAAAGAGAATACTGAACTCTCTCCCAAGAAGGGAGACTCAACAAGGAACCAGTCTGCAAGCCCCAAGTTCCTGAGCTCGTTCAGTAGAAATTAGAGATGCAGAAATACAGATTAAACAGGCATTCAGGAGCTAGACTGTCAACTGTTGCAGAATTCTGCTTTGCCATCTTGTATTCCTGATCAGCTGCCTCTCTGGGTAGGCTGAGTCTGGGCAGGAGGAGGCAGAGATGTATGCCACGTTTCTGCTAGCAGGAGTGCTTTTGTGCACTAGAGTTCTCCACTTTTTCCTTCTCTATCTATTGCCCTTTCCATATCGCGTGCACAGTGGAAGGTGGAGTAAGAAGACAAAGCATCAAGTCCGGCTACAAACAGAGAGAACAAAAAAAGGACTTTAAATGAAAATGCACTCGAGGGAAATAGCAAATATTGAGTTGTAACCTGAAGGAGAAAATTAAAGACCCCATGCATACTTTATTAATTAAATGTATGAAGTGATTTATCAGATGCTTCTCAGATGATTGTGTGAAGACTACATCTGAAACTTTGCTTTAAAAACACTTTTCAAGTGTTGTAAATATTGCCAATGGAATAAAATTAAAAATAGACCTGAAACCTAATTGGACTGGTGTTTTAGAACCAATTCTGCTGCTGTCTATGCCTCTTCTTCCCTTTCCTCATTCATTAGCAGTAAAGGGCATTTGCATGGTAACAGTCTTTGTTTTAATAAGCCTTCCTGTGCTTCCATCTCTTTTCTCCCTAATCCAAAATCCTAATCCTCTGTAACATCCCTTTTAGTCACTCTGAACAAGATTCTGATGTCACAACTGGAGGATTAGGCTGCCAAGCAGAGCTGTGAGCAGCAGGGGGAGCTGAACTCTTGAAACGAAGATCCCGTTACTATGCAAATAGCCCATAGTGCTAAGCAGTGAGGCAAAGCATAATGTACTGGATCTATGCTGTGCTGTCACAACCAACTCTAAAGGCAGCAGATCAGACTTCAAGCTTCCTCCCAGTGTTGTCAGGATTTCAAAATTCCTCATCAGATCGCGCTCATGGGTGATGTTTTTCCTCTCACTACGTAAAAAAGTACAGTTTCCATCTTCGTGGTCGCATTCTGTAAAGTGCAGTTCAGAAACCATAACACTTGCTGTTAATACCAGTCCTCCAGCTCTCTGTGCTCTCTCAACTGTTAGTGGCTCAAGGCCTGTTACTAGGCCTGCTACAAGCTTATCCCTTGAAGAGAGTTCTGCTCCTTTTTCCCTTGGCACCTGAGCAAAGGTTATTCCCACTGGGTGATGCCCATTGTCAAATCCAGTGACTGGTAACAAAGGTTCTTGGAAAAGCATAGGAAGAGAGGAGAAACACTGTAATTGAAAATGCTGTTCTGCTTTGCTTCTGTGTACTGGTATTTATGTGTACCACTGATGCTATAGAAAGTTTGCATATAGTCATACTTTCTTTATAATTTGCTTGTTTATCCCTTTAAGAGTATTTGCATTTGTATTTAGGGTTAGAGGTTAGATAATGGGATAGTAACGTATAGGAGAGGTATCAATTCCTATTTCTGTGACCTAAACTTACATGACCCAGAAATCTTACGTGAAAATGACGTCTAGTCTTCTATTTTACACTGTTAAATTTCATCCTTTCTTTTTTCTGGATCAGGGTAAATCTGAAGCAAGTGTCAGACTCCAACCCCTTCATATATGTATATGGTTGTATCCAGTTGTATATAGTTGTATCTTTACAAGTGTAAAGAAAAGGGGGAAGTGGGTACATACATGTGCCTATCAACTCTCACTCTGTAGTCTGTTGGAAATCCAGAGGTGATCTCTTTAGCTACACATAGTGCCAATGAGACCACTGGGATTTATACAGCTGTGAATGAAAGCTGGGTAGGTGGGAGGAGGAGGTGAAGGAGGGGAAAAGAGTTGAAAAATACTGCTCACCTTTCTGAAGGGTAGCACACTGTTTCCTTGCTGCTGTTGCCTCCTTTCAGGAGATGACTTTTCTTTTAGAGATTTTGTAAGACATGTTATCTGCTTTTATGCTTTTACGTGAGAGGTTTTGTTTATTTTTAACAGTATAACTTAGATGAGGGCGGAAACTCAGATTTTGTTAATACTCAGTAACTCTCTGCTTACTGATCTTCACATATTCCTTTTCATTACAGGCAAGAGGTAGAGAGACACAGATGCCTAAATTCAGCTGTTCTGTTCTTGCATTAGGGAAAAATGATCTGGTGGTAAAAGCAGGAACAACACCTCTGTGTACCGGAGGTGTGAGGTACTGTTCCTGGCTAGATCATCAAATTGGTGGGAGGATCATGGCAAGGTATGGGGTTTCCAGTTAGAAGCATAACCTGAATTTCAAAGATACTGTACAACCATTTGACCCAATGAAATCAGCATGGGTGGTGTAGATGGAGGTTTAAGGTTTCATTTTTCGATTAAAACATTTGAAAATACTGTCTCCGCTTTGTGTCTTATCTCATCTGTAAAATACAGACAGTGGTGCTGATGTAGTGAAGAGGTAAGGATGAAGAGTGGGATGAGGCTAATGGAATTGCTATTTCTGACAGAGATTGTAATACAGGGTTTGGAGATGGGTAGAGCAGTCATCACTTTATGCTTATGCGATTGTCCTTTGGGTGAGACTGGAGATAGTTAAAGGGACTGATCTTAGGCAGCCTAGCCGGTTCATCATCTCCCCGCTTTGTCCCGTTTCTTCATTTTCCTTCCTTCCTTTCTTCCTTTTCCAAACAATGTAGGATAAAAAGTAGCAGATATTTCAACTGTAGTTGTACATTTTATCTGAAGTACTGCACAATAGGAGCAGCATACCTGTGCCTAGTTTCCCGAAGATGAAATACTTAGCTAGGAAGTAACTTCCAAACTCATATTCTTTTAATTTGTGGCTTGTAGCTTCACTTCTACTCAGGGCAATTCAGAATTTGGCTACTTCCTTCTGGATGATATAGCAGCTGTTGTTCAGAGAGCCTTCTGATCTGAAGATCACTCTTTGCCTGTTGTTTGTGTTGTCTTTTTGCAAGGTTTATATGGTGGGCTAATGTCATGCCCTTAGGAGGGCTTTATTGATGTGTTTCCAGAGAAACCTATCTAATAGGACTAGGCAGCACCTTTCTCACCTTTAAAGCAAAGTTGTAGCGAACTGAGGCTGTAAAACTTCAGTTTGGATCCCAATATCAGGGTCCTCTGGGTAGGACGAAATATCGTTCGTGGGCCCTTTTCACCCTAGCATGTATTGCTGCAACAAGGAGGGCATGTTTCAGGCATGTCAACCTGGCAGTGTTTCGGTTATCCACACATCACACCATATTTTGCTATCAATTTCCTTGAATGAGCACTGAATGTACTAGTTGAGCCTGCCTAAGAGGGAATATGTTACTGTTAACTCTTCCTCCTTGCTCTGTGTTAGTTTGCTGTTTTGTTTTAGAGTGTGCAAATGTCTGTGTCCTCTGTTTACTGGAGTCTGTTGCACGTCCAAGAATGGAGAAGTGTTTGGTTAGTGCTTTTTCTCTTCTGCATGTGGATGCTGATAGTAAGGGTAATGAAGAATTGGAACTGTTGTGGGCCTGACGGAGATGATTCTCCCAGATTTGTTTCACTGTTTTCTTGTCATCCCTTATCCAGGACCAAGCACTACCTGCCAAGAAGATTCCTGTGCCAATCAGGGCATCTGTAATCAGCAGTGGGAAGGTTTCACTTGCGATTGTTCCATGACTTCATATTCTGGAAGCCAGTGTAATGACCGTAAGTAAGCTTTTTCCATCAGATTAGAGGGAGCTGTGAATGCTGACGGATGGGAACATAAAGAACACACAATTAGTTTTGATTACAAATGAAATGCAGCTTTCCCAATGGCAAAGCCAAACTTTATTTCCTAGAAAGTTTCCTTGAAGCAGCCAGCACTTTATTTTTGTCCTTGTTAAAATGAAAATGCACAAGTTTATGCTCAGTATGTTTTTTGTTTTTTTTTTAAGCTAACTCAACCAGACAAAATGATGAAATTTGAAGTTAATTGAATTCCTGATTATAGAAACCAGAAGTGACTTGCATGTACTGTGTAACATTTACATAGGTACAGAAATTGCTAGATTTTGTGTTATGTTTTGAGGCTGTTTAATTCAAACCTTGGTGGCAAAGATGTGGCATCCATGTTAAACTGCTGAGCACTGTTTTAGATAGTCTTCTACTGAATTACTAGCTGTCTGCAAAGATGAAAACTTGGGTACTGTTTGCTAGAATGTTCATTTAAAACCAGGTGTGAAATTAAACATAAAACAATAGTGTTGTACTTCTTGCTATGTTGATTTGTCTGAAAACATTGGATATCTTTTTCTTGGCTAATTCATATTAAGATCTCTAATAGAATTGTGGGGGAGGGGGGGAAGCCCTGAAATCTTCCTACAGGAAGATATCAGTCTTCACGTGTTCCCTCCACTCATCCAGGTAGGGCTTTAGCTCCTGTCCAGAGGAAGCGGATCAGGTCAGCTTCACTGTCTCCCCACTTTTATTATTCAAGAAAATAGCTAGTCCTCTTCTCCCTCCTCACTCTTAAGGGAATGGGAACAAAGGTTTCTCCCAGCACAGTTGTCCCAAATGGATATTGGAAAGGCCCATCTCCAGTCATACTGTGACAGAGGGGCAGTGTAAGAAGGGTACTACAGGCAGAGATTTGGACACTCCAGTGCAACATCTTTTCTTCGGTTGGTGTGGAATCCAGAATGACCATTCTCTATTGGATCCAGAAGAAATTTTTTGTATTAGAGCTGCAAAATTTGGCTCTGATTTTCTCTTTTTTTGAATAAGAGTTGCACAAGAATGAGGAACTGAAAGTCCTATTTGGCACCTGGTTCCCCACTCTCACGCACCTCTTGTTCAGTCGTTCAGCTTAGACTTGCTAAACATAGTGCATTATAAACTGTTGCCTAAAAGAAACCTTACTTTGGAACCTGTTGGGCTGCATTTAAGTACAGCCACTAAGATCTCTGAAGAGATTACTGATGCATCATCTTTGTTTCTAATGTGCTGGGCTTCCTAGCTCCAGAATATCACAATGTCTTTGTTATACTGTTGCTAATGACTTAGAGCAGGCTCTAAAATCTCAACAAGCCAGGTTTCTGTGTGTGAAATTGGGGATTCCTTGCTGCTTTTTAGAGCTGGCAGCTGGAAACCATGCAGAGCAGAGACAGTAGCTTGATTTGAACAGGGGTGACTTGGGCAAGGTAGCCAGCCCCCCGGTGTCAGTACTTGCTGGTGAATTAGATGCTCACAGGAGGATGTGGGTTTGAAAATGATCTGGAAAGGTAAGTCACGTGGACTGCTGGGACACAATGAGGCTTCAGCCAGGATCTTCAAAAAGTGCGTATGATATCTTTGTGTGTTTTTTGGAGTCTTTGCTTTGTATCAGGACATTGAAAACATAGTTCTGCTCCTGATAGCCTAATTAAGTTAGGAAGCATTGTGGGCTGGGAAGAGGGAGAAAACCTTTCTTCCTTTTCCTGTATGTTAGATAGGGTTGCTGCTCTACCCAAGTCTAACGGAAATAAAGGCGCTTGTATGTTAATTGAATTAAATGTTGCTTAGACTGGATGTAGCACAAAGTATGGCAGGGGAAGATAACTTCTGTATAAGTTAAAACCTTGCTGTTATTTAGAAATGCTTCAGACTCTTTGGTTTAAAAAAAAAAAAAATTAACCACAAGAGTCTAATTCTATTAATTTGGTAAATGACTGTTCCTATTTTATGAGCAAGTTGTGGTCTCCCACTGATGTAAATGTGGAATGTTGAAGTCAATAGACCAGCTCTAGAATTACGCAATGGAAATGGTAGCAAAAGAAGGCCTAGCTGAATATATTTGGTCTTTCCATATCTGTTAAACAAGTGTGTCCACACTGGAGTATTTGTGCTGCCAGATGTTTGCAGAATATTTCAGTGGCTCTGAAATAAATAAATGGCACGTCTGGTTGTCTTTTAAATTATTGTTAATGATCTCTTTAGATCATCCTCAGTGAACTGTGGGTGTGATTTGTTATTTGCTAGAGTAAACTTTGCAAAGTTATTCAGTCCTATCAGTACTTAGAAAAGGTTTGTGAGCTGATACGATTCATCTGAAGTTGTTATTACTCTTTAATTCTCTCCCAGGATTGGGCCATTAAGCCTCCCAATGCAGATGTAACTAGCTTAGAATTGCTATTTCTGAGACGTGAAGGCGAAGCACAGATAAACTAGGGTGGCAGACATGCAGGTTGTACATCTATAGATGCATTTGTACGTTCATTGCTGTTATGGAGCAAGCCTAATGTTACTTAGATTGTTTGAGTGTGTAAGTTTGTTCAGATAAAGTACCAGAATTGGAAGTTACCACATAATGCTGATGAAACATCTTGCATTTGAAGGGAACTCCATCCTGTCTACTTAATTTCATTGAAGCTGCTAATTTCTTCACAATGAGATTAGATAAAAATATGGTAATTATAGACGCCAAGTTACCAGATATGGCATCTGCTTATATTGTTGTTCTATGACTGAGTTTACAGACTCCTTAACCTATTTTAGTTTTCCTCTCTCTGGTCAAACTGTGACATGTTCTTCTCTGCACAGAGAGAATGTATAGAAAACCAGGCTTCAGCAAACTAGTTAATGGGAATGGTATGTGTACAGGAAACAAGATCGTAGAAAACACTGCTTGTTACTCAGTGCCACGTGCTGATGGTCAGGCTTTCCAGGAGAAATCACCAAGCTAACAGGACGATGTATTAATGGAGGCTATTTGTCTGTAAAAGATCAATAGCCTGCAGCAATGACTAGTGCAAGCAGAGTATAAAGCGCTTTTTCAAACAGCTTTTTTGTTGAAGCAGTTGTTAAGTCCATCTGCTGGCTATTGATTGACTTTTGGGGGGGGGTTATTTATTTATTTATAAACTCTGGGTTGTAATATCCACCTGGTTTAAAAACAATTTTTCCATACCATTAGTAGGAAGCAAAGGCAGCCGATGTTTGTTTGTCCTCTTGCGTGTATATCTTCATGCTCTTCCAGAGTGCACACTTTTTGAAAAGTCCATTGATAAACAGAGCAATCTTCTCACCACCTAACGTGATTGGTTAAGAAGTGCTTGTTTTGTCTGGGGGAGCGGTGATATACAGGGTGGTTGTTCTTTTTGTGTAATTGGTAGCATTTTTCTTCAAAGATCCCTTTCCACGTAAAACTTATACGCTTCTTACTGCCTTTCGGTGAATCACATTAGGAGGAGGGAAGCACGAAAGGGAGAGGAAGTCATGGTGACTTTGCTCTTTCAATATCATTCGTTAATTTAGCACTGCCGCAGGAAGTGCTTCTGTGAACTTACGTTCTGTAATGGTAGTGAGTGAGGCTTACTCACTAGCTCACTTAAAAGGATGTCAAAATTGGCAAGACAGGTCTAAGACCAATACTTGTGAGTGAAGCACGGAATGCAGTGCATTGAATGAGGAAGACTGAAGCTGACCTTTCTGCCAAATGTATGTTCTGGGTGAAGCATCTGGGATGTCAGAGCAAGCCCTTCCCTCTTCCACTAATATCATTCTTTTTTTTTCCCCCTGCATAAATGAATATATAAGTGGATTGACACCTCTGGAGCCTCTGATCCTGTAGCCTAGGTTGCAAAAAGGCAGTGGCAGAACCGGGGTCAGTCCCCCCTGCTTAAACAACATGATACAATAGTCAGTAGAGGAGAGTCCCTGCTAACAAGGAGAATAACAAAAGTATTAGTAAAGACAGACTTTATTTTTATGTGCTCATAAGCCGTTTATGCTCCACCCTCATGCTGTTTGTGCCACTGAACAGTTGTTGCTCTCTTCAGAGAGGTTCAGACCCCCAGCTGGGACATGGGCAGTCTTCCCTCTCCTCAGTATTTTGTTTTTGTTACCATCTCGGTAATTTCTATCCAGGCTTCATGACCTCTCTTAATGTCAATGCCAGCACGCTCAGCTTGATTTACTTACAGAAACCCTTTTTGTTGCTTGTGTTTCGTTATTGCCCATTCATTTCTAATGTGCCCAGTTTATCACTTACTGAGTCAGAGAGCAAGAGTTTGCTGGTGTGCAGAAAATAAATCTGCACAGACTTTGTTAGTCATGCATGGCTAAATCAGTCAGCTGTTTAAATATCAGCACGCTCAGGGATTTGCCTTTGATACTACAGAGACATCCACCCTACATGAAGCAGGAGTCACCTCTGATTTATCTTGAGTGAATCATCCTGCATTACAGCAGGTCAGGCACCCAGCCTGCTCCTTACTTCTCTCCTCTTGCTCTGCCCTCGCTTACTCAGTGCTCTTTTAGGTACCCTCTTCTAGTACCTTCTGGCTTGCGGCTCATTTTCAGTTCCTACCATAAGCCTTTGGTGTTCTCTGTTTCTGTGTCTGAATGACCTTATACTCTGAGAATTGGGATAAAAGGGAGAGGAATGGCAGGGAAATACAGCTGTGTACTTTAGTACATGGTATAAATTGTATTGTTGTGATTTGAGTTTTGAACCCTGCTTACCCAACCCTTCTTACCACTATTTACCTTCATTTGCTCTAAAGCTCCAAGAACTGTAACATCTTTAGGGCAACGAGCTATCCCTACTACTCTTTAAAGCACCATGTACTTTTCTGTTGCTTGGTAATAACCCACTAGATAATTGCTTCACCACTTGAGTGGTTTAAGAACATTTGTTGCCTCTCTGTTTACTGAAAGGCATTTTGCTCTCTTGAATAAAAGCTGTA